TTCGACCATGTTTTGATTCGACCGATTTGAACCTATAATAATAAATGATCTAATCCAAATATATTCCATATGAAATAATTTTGAATTCTGCATTGTTGAAAATGACGTCCCTTAAATTACTTCTTCAACAGACACGACGCAATGTGTTCAAAGAAGAACAAGAAGTGAAGTGTGGAACCATTCCACAGTTGTGGATGGAAAAGCCAAATGCAATTATTGCACTAGGTATATATATATATATATTTATTTCCGAAGGCAACTCTTAAAATTATTGCAATATCGTTATTCATCATTGTTATATTTATTATTTAAATTTAAACAATGACTTGTGAAACTGTAAATTATATTGTTGATATTAATAAGCAGAGTTTCCTATTTGAGTACAGATTCTTATTCGAACTATATATTCATATATGCAATACAAAACAATTACATTAAATGCACGACTCCACATGTTTACCATAAAAGGCATTTATTGGAACAATCAATGAAATACATAATGTTTAAAAAATATTTTGGATGTTTATTTGTCTTCTTAATGAACCAATAACGAATATGGCGCACTATTGTTTACAATTCATCCAGAAAAGTATGTTGAATGTAATTGAAACCTCGAAGCCTTCTTTTGGGTATTTTATACAGTAAAATACACACTGCACAATCACCCAATTGCTTGAGGCCGTTATGTAATTTTCTTTGTGAAATTTTGTCTTGTCTCGTAATGAATGGTAGTGAATACATGTATATGTGAATGTGTGTAAATCAATAAAAATGAGAGAAAATTTAAAGTGAGAGTATATTATACAAAAAGAATGAAATTTACATATAATATTGTAATGATGATAATGACTATGATTGTGTAATGATGAATATGAATTGAAATAAATAAATATAAATATATATATATATATATATATATATATTAATATTATCTTTTAATTCTTTCCAATCTACCAGTGGATAAAGATAAAGACGAAGATGATTGATTATTGATGGTACTGATGGTA